AATGCGCCAAACGAGAAAAATTCCTATCAATTATTTCTGCTTTCGGTGTTACTAATATCAAAAATCAAAATGATATGTGTATGAGTGTTTATGAAATAAAAATGGAGAAACTTACCGTAAATGAAAGCATAAATAAAGAGTAAGTCCCACAATTATGAATAAGTCTTTTGTAGTATATGTCACACCGATTCACCATGCATGGTATTGCAGTTTTTTTCTTTTGTCTCAAACTAATTTTCCTAAGATTTGCATATTTTTCTAAAGACCTGTCTAAACCCCTCAAGCTATAATTAATATTTCGGATAATATAATCATAAATAATAATTGTGCTCGATAAAAATCAAATATTGATGTGATAGATCGATGTTTACACGCTCTCTCTACCCTATTTCACACTTGAAGTGTATCATACTAAGACTAGTAAACACAAAAAGGGACCAAAAATGATTTTGATAGATCGATAGCTCGATTTGGCGATGTGCTCTCAAAGGCAAATAAGGCATTCTTTTGGTCCAGCCAAGCTTCTCTCTTACCCTAATTTTCTTTCTCCATTGGTAAGAGTAGCAACTGCTCAATGTGGTGGCCAGGACCATTCGCATTCAGTATCCTCTCTTCTTATTTGGAAATTTGTAATACTGTCGTTGTACAATTTTCTATCAATTAGATTTTTGACGATTTTATTTGATTTTTCAACTATTTATGCGTGTTCTCTCAATTTATGGCATGAAGGGTTTTTTTACTGCGTTTTGTAATGCATCCTCTTATAGCTTTCTCATAATTACATGAGCTTATTTTCTTGAAAAAATTTACGTATAATTTGAAAAATCCAAAAAAAAAGTTACGAACTTGACTACAAGTATTTAACAAAAAAAACTTGACTACAAGTATTTTTTTTTACTAAATGGTGGTGGCCTAGTGGTAACCTATGTTGCATGGAAACGTGGATGAAGGTGTTTCAGTTTCGGAAACGTTTCGGAAACGGAAACGCGATGGAAACGCGAGGAAACGCAATGGAAATGCGTTTCCTAAATATTCCAATTTGGAAACGTGGCCGGAAACGTGTTTCCGAAATTAGAAACGCGAATTTTGGTTTTTGAAGCAAATTTAATAAATATTTTGAAAATATAAGGATTTGTTTGTTATTTTTAATAAGTTTTAAAACCTAATTATTAAACACTAATACATTATTTTTCTCTAATCGTCACCGTAACCTAAAAACGTAGAAGAATCGAATTGATAAACAAGGTATTTTTTCTAATTATAGTAGATTTGTTATTGATTTGAAATTATGAAGTCGTATACAAAAACGAAGTATTTTTTGTTCGAGTCGGATTAGATTTGTGTTGTTTCAAATATTTTAAAACTATTTATAATTTTTGTTTCATG